CCCCACCGCCCTCGCCCGCGCCCACACCGCCATTCCCGCCTGCCAAGGCACCGACCCCTCCGCCCTCGCCGCCGCCCTTCCCGCCTGCAAAAGCGCCGCTCCCGCCACCCTCGCCACCGCCGTACCCGCCTGCCAACGCACCGATCCCGCCACCCTCGCCACCGCCGTACCCGCCTGCCACGGCACCGACCCCACCCCCCTCGCCCGCGCCCACACCGCCGTACCCGCCTGCCAAGGCACCGACCCCTCCGCCCTCGCCGCCACCGTACCCGCCTGCAAAAGCGCCGCTCCCGCCACCCTCGCCACCGCCGTACCCGCCTGCCAAGGCCCCAACCCCTCCGCCCTCGCCGCCACCCTTCCCGCCTGCAAAAGCGCCGACCCCACCGCCCTCGCCCCCGCCCTACCCGCCGACCAAGGCGCCGACTCCACCACCCAAACCGCCGCCAGCCCCGATGCCTCCACCGTACCCGCCAGGCAAGGCCCCAACGCCGCCGCCCTCGCCGCCGCCGCATCCGCCAGGCCTGGGACCGACGCCACCTCCCCCCTTCGCCATCGAGCCCAATGCCACCGGCACCGCCGGCGCCACCGCCGACGCCACCCTCGCCACCAGCGCCCCCTGCACCACCCCCGTTCGCCACGTGCGTAAAGACCGTGTCAACGACTGCCTCCGCCATCAACATTCCCTCGGGCCCTGTCGGCACCTGCTACAGATATCTGCCCGTGGACCATGTGGACATGTCGGCATCAGACCCAGCAAAGGCGCGGGCCGATGGAGGCTGGTACCAGCATTCCTACCATGGCGCGTACCACCCTCCTGTCGACCGAGGCTTGGGCTACGAGAGGTACTACACAAATAGCCCCTACACGATGACCTATCAGGGAAATGGCTACATCTACATCCAGAACACCCAGAACTGCTGTTACGGTGGGTGTTCGCCGAACTGTTGCTGGCGGAAATGTGGGATTGGCACGATCTACATCGTCTGCGACGACCAAGTGTGCGACCCACCGTCGCCACCTCCGACGCCGCCATCGCCGCCTGCACCCCCGGCCTTGCCGCCGGCACCGCCGTCGCCGCCCGCGCCGCCTATGCCTCCACCGCCATCGCTGCCGCCGCCGTTGCCATCGCCATCGCCGCCAGCACCACCGGCGCCTCCCGCGCCACCCGCGCCGCCACCGCCGCCGCCCACGCCCGACCCGCCCCCCGCGCCGCCCCCCGCGCCGCCCTCGCCCCCCGCCCCGCCCTCGCCCCCGCCCGCGCCACCGTCGCCACCCGCGCCGCCCTCGCCACCGCCGTCGCCGCCGCCATCGCCATCGCTCCCGTCGCCCCCGTCGCCGCCCCCATACACGTGCGAGACCTTCTTCTCGTGCCCGATGATCTACTCGTCCTATTCCAGCTCCGGGACGCAGAACGTCGCCGCCGAGTACTCCTTCGACAAGCTGGCGAGCTACAACTACCCGATATCGCCGCCGCCGTCGCCGAGCGCTCCGGCCTCGTTCGAGACCTTCTACTCGTGCCCGATCGGCTCCTCGTACAGCAGGTCGCACTTCGAGTTAGCGGCGAGCTACGGCACGAAGAACAGCGACGACTGCTGGTTCGAGCGCATCCCGTCGGACGGGACGACGAGCAGCGGGCTGGCGATCCGCGCGACGGTGTCGGGCGGGTCGTGCGGCAGCAGCCCGACGACCATCGAGTTCACGGGCGCCACCGACGCCGCCAAGACCAGCCTGTACAACTACTTTGTGAGCGGGACCCAAGTAAGCTGGCAAACAATCGACTCGACGTTGGTCTCCGGCTCCGTCCCGAATCTGCCGACCAACTTGTATGCTGGATCAGGCACCAACTACGGCTGGATTTTGGGAAGCTCGTCAACTACAGCGACGGTATTTGCAAGCGGCTACAACCTAAACAATGGTTGGGACCGCTGCAACAGCGCGGCGCTGCACGGCTCAAACGAGGAGATTGTCGAGCTGTCCTACATTTCGGTGCCTCCGCCCGCCCCGCCGAGCTGCTGGTTCTACCGGCTGCCTCAGACCACCGTCGACTACCCCTTCATCCGTGCGACGGTGTCGGGGGGCGTGTGCGGCTCGGAGACAAACACGATCGAGTTCCGAGACGCGTCGACCACGTCCACGGCCGTGCGCGACTACTTTGTCGACGGGACGGTGAGCAAAGACGACTGGCACACAATCACGTCGACGGTAGTCGAGGGCACGGTGACGCGGGTGCCTACCTACATCTACATCGACGCCACTTACGGCTTCATCTTGTCCGCCCACACCAGCAGCCAGGGCTACGGCTACGCGGTGGCACGGTCGTACAATAACTGGCAGTACTGCGACGGCGCCGGGAGCTTCACGGGCGAGGAGCGGCTCGAGCTCTGCCTCGTCCCGCCGCCGCCACCGGCGCCGCCCCCCTTGCCGCCGCCGCCGCCGCCGCCGCCGCCAATGCCACCCCCCGCGCCACCCTCGCCGCCGGCCCCTCCCGCGCCACCGCCGTCGCCCCCATCACCGCCCGCGCCCCCGTCGCCGCCGCCGTACCCGCCTGCCAAGGCACCCTTGCCGCCACCCTCGCCACCGCCGTACCCGCCTGCCAAGGCACCGATCCCACCGCCCTCGCCCGCGCCCACACCGCCATTCCCGCCTGCCAAGGCACCGACCCCTCCGCCCTCGCCGCCGCCCTTCCCGCCTGCAAAAGCGCCGCTCCCGCCACCCTCGCCACCGCCGTACCCGCCTGCCAACGCACCAATCCCGCCACCCTCGCCACCGCCCTACCCGCCCACCAAAGCGCCGGTGCCGCCGCCCATGCCACTGACCTCACCACCCTACCCGCCTGCCAAGGCACCGACCCCGCCTCCCTCGCCGCCGCCCTACCCGCCTGCCAAGGCACCCTCGCCGCCTCCCTCGCCGCCGCCCTACCCACCCGCCAAGGCGCCCTCGCCGCCGCCCTCGCCACCGCCGTACCCGCCTGCCAAGGCACCGATCCCGCCACCCTCGCCGCCGCCGTACCCGCCTGCCACGGCACCAACCCCACCGCCCTCGCCCGCGCCCACACCGCCATTCCCGCCTGCCAAGGCACCGACCCCTCCGCCCTCGCCGCCGCCCTTCCCGCCTGCAAAAGCGCCGCTCCCGCCACCCTCGCCACCGCCGTACCCGCCTGCCAACGCACCGATCCCGCCACCCTCGCCACCGCCGTACCCGCCTGCCACGGCACCGACCCCACCCCCCTCGCCCGCGCCCACACCGCCGTACCCGCCTGCCAAGGCACCGACCCCTCCGCCCTCGCCGCCACCGTACCCGCCTGCAAAAGCGCCGCTCCCGCCACCCTCGCCACCGCCGTACCCGCCTGCCAAGGCCCCAACCCCTCCGCCCTCGCCGCCACCCTTCCCGCCTGCAAAAGCGCCGACCCCACCGCCCTCGCCCCCGCCCTACCCGCCGACCAAGGCGCCGACTCCACCACCCAAACCGCCGCCAGCCCCGATGCCTCCACCGTACCCGCCAGGCAAGGCCCCAACGCCGCCGCCCTCGCCGCCGCCGCATCCGCCAGGCCTGGGACCGACGCCACCTCCGTCCCCGCCACCGTACCCTCCTGGCCAGGCGCCAATCCCGCCTCCCTCTCCGCCGCCGTACCCGCCTGGCAAGAACCCGATGCCTCCACCGTACCCGCCAGGCAAGGCCCCAACGCCACCGCCCTCGCCGCCGCCGTATCCGCCAGGCCTGGGACCGACGCCACCTCCGTCCCCGCCACCGTACCCTCCTGGCCAGGCGCCAATCCCGCCTCCCTCTCCGCCGCCGTACCCGCCTGGAAAGGCCCCAACACCACCTCCAAGAGAACCTGCGCCGTAGCTCCGGGACGGGGACCGCCGCCAGAGAGAGTTGTTTTGATTAACTTTCTCGCGGGGCAACACATCAGCGAGGGAGGGCGAGAGACGATCGAGGGGTCCCGTACCATGCGGAATCGACCCTATCCAGTGCTCAAGAGGGCGGGGCGGGACGGGGTAGGGCGGGGCGGGGTGGGGTGGGGCGGGGCGGGCGCCGGAGTGGGAGTCGGATGGCGGTTTCTGTGGCGAGGGCGAGGGCCGGGCCGGATGATCGGCATCGGGCCGCTGCTGGCAAGAGAGCCCTCTGAGAGCCCTGACCCTGACTGGGAGGATTAAATTCTTTTCTCGGCCTCGTGTTCTGAGAGTGATTGGTAAGCCAAGAAATTTCCGGAAAGTGCCCTTCGGCCTCTCCAAAACAAGCACCGCGCTGGCCTCTGCTCTAAAGGTCAACCAGGGTGCAGTGGCCCTCGACAGTGATGGATAGCAGCCGCGAGTGCACGGTCAGCCAGCAACTTGACGACGAGCAGCGGCCTCTCGCCCTCGCCAGCCTCCCGACCGATGCCCTCGCTCACATTTGCTCCCTCCTCCCGGCACCCGAGGACCTCTCGTGCGCCGAGCGCACCTCTCTGCACTTTCAAGAGGCCGTCGTGCGGGCGCTGCGTGCGAGGCGGTATGGCTTGCCGGCTCTCGACACGACTTGCGAGCCGTCGTGGACGCAGGCGGCCCTCTGGGAGGAGAGGCGGGACCGGGTGCCGGCACAGCCGATCGCTGTCGGCTTCTCGCACGTCACGTTCGTGGATGACTCGGGACGCCTCCTCTCCTGCGGGACCGAGGACTTCGATGCCGGCGTCGACCGGCCCGGCCTGCTGGGTCACGGCGAAGGTGTCCGGCGGCTGGCGCAGCCGACTCGCCTGCCCGTCACTGGGCAGCGCGTGCGGTTCCGGTCCGTGTCGTCGGGCGTGGCGCACACGCTCGCAGTGAGCGAGCGGGGCGATGTCTTCGCATGGGGAGCGCCGGCGCCGGCTCCGCCTCTTTGTTGATTCGTGAGATCAGTCGTCGGTATTAATTCATAGGCATCGGGGCTCGGGGCCGGCTCGGACTCGGCAAATGAAGACCCTCGCCACGCGCATGTCGAGGACGCGTCCACGACACGTCCACGGCACGTCTCCGTAGGGGAGGAGGAGGACCGCGCCTCGCCGACCATCGTCGCAGTCGGCTCCGAGAGCCGTGCAGTCGCCGTCTCGGCGGGCGGCGCGCACACAGCCTCGCCGGCGAGGCCCGTTTGCTTATTTGTTGATCCGCTGCGGAGTTGTGAATAGGCGCACACAGCCTCGCCCTCACGGCGGAGGGGCACGTCTGGAGCTTCGGCGACGGCTCTCTCCCCTCCAGATGCTCAATAGCTCTCCCCCGCACTACCCACCTCTCCTCTCAACTCTGCTCTTGTGGCAAGCACTCTGGACGGCACGCACACGGCTGCAGTCCACTGTATCCGCTGCCGTCCACCGAATCCGCTGCCACGCCCTTGGCTGCCTGTGTCACCACGTGCTACCCACATAGGCGCTCTCGGCCAGCTGGGCCACGGCGACCTCTCGAGCCAGCTGCGGCCAAAGAGGATCGAGGACCTGCGTTGGTCGCGCGGCAGCGCCCTCTCTGCCTCCACCGCCCCTTTCTTGGTTGCGGGCCACAGCGGTGTTGGTAAGCCGAGGCGTAGGCACCGCCATCTCCGCCTGCGTCGTCCACAGCCTCGTCGCAACGTCGGACGGCGCCGCCTACTCCTTCGGGCACGGCAACAGCGGCAGGCTCGGCCACGGCGACACCGCGCGGCAGCCGTCGCCAAGACGCATCGGCGGGTTGCGCTCGGAGCACATCTCGGCGCTAATTAAGGGAGGCCACCGTTTGTCGTTGGAACGACTCACGGCAGGCGTCTGATGCAGGCGGTCGCTGCCGGCGCAAGGCACAGCCTGGCCCTCTCCTCGGGCGGCAGCGTGTTCAGCTTCGGGTGGGGCGTGTGCGGGCAGCGGGGGCGCGGGCGACAGGGTGGCGTGTTGGTTGGTGGCTCATTAGTGGCAGTGATGAATAGGCATCTGGAGCACTGGCGGTGAGGTTCGCGTCTCGTTCGCGAGCGACTCAGCGTGAGTGAGTGAACAACAGGCAGCTCGGCCACGGAGACAAGCGGAGCAGGCTCGTGCCCGAGAGGATCTGCGGCGCGCTGGCGGCGGTGCGGGCGGTTGCGGTCTCTGCGGGGTGCGAGCACAGCTTGGTGCTGGCGGCGGGCGGGGCCGTCTACTCGTTTGGCTACGGGAGCCACGGGAGGCTCGGACACGGCGACGAGGAGGCCCGCTGCAACGCCACGCCTGCCCGCCCCCCCTTCCCCGCCCCGCCACGGGCACCCCCTCCCTCCGCCACCAGCCCCCCGGAGCACGGCGGAGCGGCAGACTGCACTCGCGGCGAGCTCACTGAGGGCAGCTCACTGAGGGCAGCTCGCTGGGGGCGAACCAGTGTCGCGGACGCTTTGAGGCTCGCGGCAGAAGGCGCTGTCCCCCCGCCCTGGCGCAGGAGCGACTCGAGCCGCAGCCGATCGCGAGCTTGGGCGGCGGCCGCACCGTTGGCGCGGGCCAGTATGGCCTCGCCGCCTATTCGGTGGCGTCCACCGCCAGCGGCGACGCCTTTGCCTTCGGATGTGGCGAGGACGACGCGCTCGGTGTGGGTGCGCGTTCGGAGAACTTGCTGAGGCCGCGGCGGTACCCGCATCTGCGGCTTGCTGGAGAGGGGCGAACGGAGGAGTCGCCGCGAGAGTGCTGTTGACGGGTACACCCAGAGGAAAACTGTCTCATTGTGCGAGGCCGAGGGGGGCGGCTCGGCTCTGATGAGATGCCCCCACCCCGAAGACGCTTTTTTGAGACACGGGTGTACTCGCCGAGGGCATCGCGCCGAAAACCCCGCGCATTCCGCCCCAGCAGAGGCTGCAGCCGATGCGCAAGCTACACCACTGTAAGAATGGTGACTATATAAGCGTGGGTGGGCTTGCTTGCTCCCTCAGCGAGCGGGTTCTTTACCAGGTTGCAACACCTGTTCCGCACACTGCTGTGAACGCTGCTGGTTGCCGCCGGTTGAGCAGCACCCCGTCCCCATCCCAAGCTGCAGAAACGAGCTTTTAGTGCTTATGAGCATAAGCACTGGATTCTCATGCGCGCGGAGCGCGCCGGTGCTCTACCCGGACGCTGCAGAACACGCGCGGAGCGCGCCGCTGCATGGGTAGGCGCGGAGCGCCGCCACTCGAGATTGGGCCTGTGGGTGGGCCGATTGGTTCCAGCGTGTGAGTCAAACTCTTAATAGAAATCGCATCTAGCCCTCCACAACCCTCAAAATTTTCTTCGGGGCGCGCTCCGCGCGCGGCGCTCCGCGCCTACTCCTTGAGCGTCATAGGCACTGGTTCGCACATGTTCTGCAGCTTGGGTCCCCATCCAGGTTGTTGGTTGCTGCCCCAGGTCCCGCACTATGTAGGTGCACTGCTTCAGCAGCGTACACCTTGATCCTGTACCGTGTTTGTTATATAAACCCCCCCAATGAACACACCAGTGAGGGAGGGCGAGACGATCGAGGGGTCCCGTACCATGCGGAATCGACCCTATCCCACCAGTGCAACAGTGCGGGTGGAATGCCCCGTTCTCAGTGCTTGTTCGGGTACGTGGCTCGCACGTCCCTTCGAGTCGCTGTGTCCCGTCCACGTCGCCCGTCGGTCGGCAAAGCCGACGACCTATGGTGCAATACAGGCCGCTCGTAGGGGAGGCCGCAAAGATGCGCGAGGCCGGCGTAAATAAGTTGAGCCTCTTGGCGGCCAGCTCGAGCACCTCCCCCTTGGTGTCGGGTCGCGCGACCTTTTTGCCGACCTCCGAGCCCAGATAGCGCACCGTGATCCTCGTCGGCATCCGCGCGGGGTTGCCCTGCTGCCGGCCCCTGGCGGCCCGCCACGTAGTAGGTGCGACGTGCCCGCCGAAACATCGGTTCAAAACGACGTCACAGCGCCAATTCGGCCCCCGTCTTCGGCTCGCTCCGCTCGCCGGTGAGTTGGTTGGTTGCTGGCAGCACCCCAGCACCGGGGGGTCCTGAGAGCTGTTGGTTGCCGCTCGATTCACAGCACAGTGCGGAACAGGTGTTGCAACCTGGTAAAGAACCGGCTCGCAGCCGGGAGGGAGCAAAAATGCAAGAATTAACGTGTGTGTACAGGCTGTACAGCTGTACGCCCCTAAAGCCGTACAGCGGTCAAACGCCGTCAAAAGCCGCGCAGCTATCGCCGCTAAGCTAGGGCTGGGTCGAGGACAGACACGTCCCCACCTTTGCAGGATTTTGCAAAAGCGAGGGGGGAGGGCGCATCGCTGCGCGGAGAGGGCTGGGCACAGGGCACAGGGGATCTCTCTCGCATAGGATATGCACTCGGCGGCACGAGGGCAAGGCTGGGCGTCCTATGTTTGTGCTCCCCCCCGGACCCCTCGCTCTCGGGCACTAACCATCTGACCACTCATCGACGGGGCTTGGCGAGCGGCCGCGCTGCGGGGTAGGGCTGGTGAGAATGGGCTCTGGCCACTCGCCCGTGCGGTTGTAACCCCGCATCTGTCGGACAGAGGCCTCGACCGCCCCTCGCGGCAAGCTCTCGAGCATCTCGAGCAGCTCGCCCGCCGCCATCGCCGCCTCGAACTGCTCCCTCATGCCGAGCGCGCCGCATACCCTGCGGACCGCCTCCTGCTGCACCTCGTCCGGCGTATCGGTTTCATAGCCGGACGAGTCAGCGGAGGCGGCCCGCTTGGCGGGCGGAGAGTCGGGCGACGGCGAGCGCGACTGGCGCGAGGGCCCGCTGCCGCGCGCGGACAGCGCGTTCTTGTCAACGAGGCGGGGTCCATCATCGGCACGGCCCCTGGCACCGCGGCCCTTGCCGCGCTGCTGCTGCCCACGCTTCCTGCCCGGGTTAGGGACAGTGAAGGAGCAGCCGCGCACTCCGCCGCCGCTGGGCGGCGGCGGCACGCGCGCGGCGGCGGCCGGGCCCGCAGGCGCGGCGGGCTGGCCACCCGCGGTGGCACCCTGCGGCTGCGATGCGGCTGCGGCGGCGTACGTCTTGGGCGCCGGCTCCGCGGCTGGCGGCGCGGCGGCAGGGGCGGGCGGCGCCCGAGGGCTCGCGCTCGCAGGCGGCTCCGTGGCCTGCGCCTGCCGCTCGTGGCGCACAGCTCGCTCGAGCTGCGAGTGCGGGTGCAGCTGTACGATGACGTCGCCGCTCTGCGTCGCGGTGAAGGAGCCACCTCGCCAGTGTTGTGCGACGGCGTTCGTAGAATTCTTTTTCTCAAGGACGCTACCCGGTGGCATAAAGTCCCACTCGAAGGTCGTCATCGATGGCCTCTTAGACTTACACCACTTATCCCACAGCACATCCGCCGGCGATCCTTCCGCGTCGGCGCAGCAAAGACCTGAACGCTCGGCTGACACTCGACTCTTGATGCACGCGCACCCGGCGGGTACAAATAGCACCGCGTGCTCTCCGGCTGAGCCGAGAAAGTGGGGCTGGTGTTCCGATTCTCACCCGGCCACACCACCACAGGCGACAAGGCGAAGGCTGGTCCGAAAAACCAGTTCGCGCTGCACGAGGTGCCGCGCCGCATTGTACATGACGTGCAGCGCGGCTCTGCTCGCCGCGACGGCGGCCGAGGATCGGTGCGCGTACGTGCAGGCCAACTGCACTGAGGTTGGCAACGCGTACTTTGGCTCGTACGTCGAGCACTGGCACTGCACCTTTGGCGAGTCGCCCATGGCGCTGCTGCCGCTCGGTGTGTGGCTGGCGATGCTGATCGCGGCGCTGTGCAGCACGGCGGACACCTTCCTCATCCCGCAGCTGAGCTACATCTCCACCTACCTGCGGCTCAAGCCCGACGTCGCGGGCGTCACCCTCCTCGCGTTTGGAAACGGCGCGCCCGACGTCTTCACAGGGATCGCCGTCGCGACGGCGCACCCCGAGGAGGTAGACTTCTCCTTGCTGCTGGCCGACCTCGTGGGCGGCTCCATCTTCATCATGACGGTCGTCGTCGGCGCTGTCGTGTGGGTCCGCTGCACTCTCCACCCCCACCCTGCACCCTGCACCTCTTGCACCTCTTGCACCTCCACGCCCTGCACCTCCACCCTCCACACTGCACCATCCACCCTCCACACTGCACCATCCTCCACACTGCACCCTCCACCCTCCCCCAGGTCGCGGCGAGCCACTCGCCCGGGTGGCGGCTGAGCCGGATGCCGTTCTACCGCGACACGATCTCCTTCTTCGTCGCGATCACGCTCGTGCTCGCCGTGGCGTCGAACGGCGTGGTCCGCCCCTGGGAGGGCGTCTTTTTCCTCCTTAACTACCTCTTCTACGTCGCCCTCGTCATCGCGATCCGGTACTACATACAGCCCTGCTGGCCGGAGGACACCTTCGGCGTCTACCTGCGCGGCAAGGCGCAGCCCGTCCTCCAGCGCGCGGAGCCAGCGCTGCGCGCCATCAGCCGCCGCGCCACGCCGCTCGCGAGGGGCGCGGCAGAGCGCGCGAAGCCAATCGCCCGGCAGGTGCGTCACCGCGCCTCCCGCGCCTCCTCCTTCTTCAGCGCGGCGGGGCAAGGCCTGCTCGCGCAGGGCAGCAGCGTCGCCGGCGCGCCGCCGCCGCTCGCCGCCCCCGCGCCTCCGCTCGTCGCCTCGCCGCCCGTCGCCTCGCCGCTCGTCGCGTCGCCGCTCGTCTCCTCCACGCCGCTGCTCGCCGCTCCGGCAGCCGCCCCAGGCCGGGGTCCGTCGAGGCCGGCGTCCCCTCGCGGCGTGAGCCCGACGCCGCCGCGGCAGGTGGAGATGGTCCCGGAGCAGGCGCCGCCGCGCTTGGACGGCAGTGAGGCGCCGGAGCGCGGGACGCCGCACGTGGCGCCGGAGAGCGGCACCGCGCCGCTGGTGGCGAGCGGCGCGTCCGCCCTCGGTCTCGGAGGGGGGGGCGGCAACGGCGGCGCGGCGCGTCCTGTGGCGGCGCATGCGGTGTGTGGGGAGGAGGCTGAGCGCGGCGGCGGGCTCAGCGCGGTTCAGGTTGCGGTGGCGGTGGCGCAGGGGGAGGATCCGACCAACGACAACGGCGGGCGGCTGATGGGCTCGGGTGGCGCGGCGGCGGAGGCGGCGGAGGAGGAGCGCTGCCCGATGGCAGGGCTCGAGTGGGACGCAGGTGCATCGCGGCTGTCAAAGGCCCTCTGGCTCCTCGAGTGGCCCCTGTCGGTGCTGCGGTGGGCAACCATCCCGACGGATTCGGAGTGGGACGCGCGCCGCCGCTGGACCGCCGCCACGCCGCCGTTCGCCGCCGTCCTCCTCCTCGTTCGCTTCTCGGGCGGTGTGGGCGACGCGGCGGCTGCGCGCGCGGGGCCGCTCCCACTGCTGCTGCTGCTGCCGCTCTGCTGCGCGCCGCTCCCCTACGCGCTGTGGAGGCTAACCCGCGACGACGTGCCGCCGGCGTGGCAGCCGGCCCTCGTCGTGACGGGCTTTTGCTTCTCCATCGTCTGGCTCGACCTCGTCGCTACCGAGGTGGTAGCCCTCATCGAGACGGCGGGCTTCCTGCTCGGCATCTCGACCTCCATCCTCGGGCTCACCGTCATCGCGATCGGCAACTCGGCGGGCGACCTCGTCTCTGACATTGCCGCCGCCAAGGGGGGCGAGGCGAAGATGGCCGTGGCGGCCTGCTTCGGCTCGCCGCTCCTCATGAACATCATCGGCGCCGGCGCGTCGCTCACGGTGCGCGCAATCATGACGGGCGGCGCCGACACCGAGTCGTCCGTCTCGCAAGTCTGCCGCATCGCCTACCTCTTCCTCTACACCGCCCTCTTCTCTCACATGGTCGTCTTTCCGCTCGGCGGCTACTCCGCCTCGCGCGGCTACGCCGTCTACCTCTTCGCGCTGTACGCGGTCTTTATGCTGCTCGCGCTGCTTGCCGAGAGCCGGAAGCTGGGCGACTTCCTCTGCCCGGCCTCGTCGCCCTGCCCGCCGCCCGTGGAGGGATAGCTCGTGCGTGGTGGACGCGGTGCTCTGGGTGTCGGGCCGGGCGGGGGTGGGTGTGGGGAGGGGGGGGGGGGGGGTAAAGATGTGTGCCGAGTTGAATATTTTGTTCAAGACCTCAACTGGCGTTTATTTTTGCTTGGCCGGGTATCATGCCGGGGTAGGTAGGGTAGGGTCTGGGCCCTCCCGTCGGGTTTTTCCCTCTCTTCAAGCTGGAATTTTCAGAAAAAGAAATTTTCCGCGGAAATCACGATGTCAACCCTCCCCAAATGGGTGATCTGATGCTTGTAGGGCTTGAGAGTGGCCTCCCATGTCACAAGAAGGACTGTGGATGCAGGAGAGTACCACCAACCATCACTCTAGTTGGTATAGTACCACACCTTCACCCCTCCCATGATTTCTTTTTTAGTTTCCCATAGGTAGGGTAGGTAGGTAGGTAGGTAGGTAGGGGCACCGCAGGGGCCGGCCAGGGTTTTTGCAGAATTTCAGCATGATACCCGGCCAAGCAAAAATAAACGCCCCACCTGAAGACCTCGCGATACAACAAAGAGACGCCGTGTGTTCTCTCGCAAAATATGCCAGCAACCTTCAACTGGAGCAAGGGCTCGACCAAGCACAAGATGCCGAACCAGCCGCGCGCAGGCGCTCCGTACCGGCTGAGCGGCGCCGGCCAGCGGCCGGTCTCTGCGCGATCGGGTGTCCCTGCCAGCGGCAGCCGAGGCGGCGGCGGCTCACTCGACCTCGTTGCCCTCTCCTCCGAGACGCTGAGCGCGGCGTGCCCACGATCTGAGGAGCGATCCGGCTCCACACACCCCTCCTCCCTCCCGAGGCACCACCACGCGCTGTCGAGCGCGTCTGCGGGCGGGCCTGGTGCGCCGCAGCAGCTTGGCTACGCCTCTCCCTCCAAGCCGCGCTCGCCGCCGCCACTGCGCTTCGACGAGCCCTTCGAAGAGCACCCCGCCGCGTCCGAGCTCCTCAACCCGCGCTCGCCACCGCCGCTGCGTTTCGACGAGCCCTTTCAGGAGCACCCGTCCACATCCGAGCTTCTCTTCTCGCGGTCCCCAGAGGCCGGCTCCCTGCCGCACCTGCGCACCCCGCTTCACCCCCGGGGCTGGCCAGACGCGGCGGAGACCGAGGACTCGGGCCTGCACTTTGGGTCTGCCCTTTCGCCCTTCACCGGGGGTGGCATCAAGACTGTTGGCGGCGCGCGGCGCGGGTCTGAACTCTTTCGCGAGCAAGGGCACATGAGCTTCGACTTCCCGCCGGCACCGGCGAACCCCCTGATCTCGGCAGCGGAGGACGATCCCATGAGGCAACAGCGCGCCAGCAGCCACACCAGCAGCTGGGAGCGCGCCGCCCGCCCCGACCACAGCGCAGCCTCCTCAAGCTTCGCGGCCCGCCTGTTTGACGTCGACCTTCACGGTGAAGGCGAGGCGGTGGTCCCCGCACGTCGCGCGAGCCAGCACCTGCTCTTTGACGAGCCCCAATACCCCGACGGTCACGACGCGAGCATGGGCTTCTCGTTACCACTTGGAGGAGGACGCGGCGGCGGCTTTGGCGGGAGTGCGATCGCGTTGCGTGGAGGCATTCAGCCGAGCCAGGCGGACACGCTCGTCACGCACGAAATCGAGCATCGCAGCGGACCGGGCCTGGCTCTGCGGCCGCACGCGCGCGCATCGCCCACCGCCTTTGCCGGGGAAATCCACCCCTCCCCTGCCGACACCGCCTGCATGCCCGCGGACACGGGCGCCTCCCTGCTCAAGCGCGACGTGCGCGCCTCGATCCCCGACGGGCGCCTTCCGGACAGCTCGATCCCGGCGCCGGCGGCTCCCTCCCTGTTTCCTCCGCGCGTCGGGAGCTACCCGTCACCCGTTTCCAAGGAGGCGGGGGGCGACTCGGAGCCAGGGGGCGGCTCGCTGGACCAGCTGGTGGACCACCAGTACGGCTCCTTTCTGGTGCAAGACGCCAACGGCATTGCCAATGGCGGCGCACGGCGCGATGCTCGCACGCAGACGTATCCGCCGCCGAGCCAAGACGCTGCCACTCAGACTGAGGAGCCCGCCTCGACATCGCGTCGCACGCCCCACCAGTACCAGAGGTGGAGGCTGTGGCAGCCCGGCAAGCCCGCCTACAGGTCCCTGTACAAGAAGCGCCTCGCGGCGAACGCGCGGGCGCTGCTGGCGCAGGCAAGGGCGCTGCCCCGATGAGGCTTTGCGCCGGCCACGGGCGGGCGCGAGAGGGCCGCGCCCAGAACGGTCTGCGCGGCGGTGTGCGCGGACCAGAGCAGCGCCGCTGCGGTTCACGGTTGCCCCGGAGGTGGACTCGGCGCACATGGGACGCGAGACGCAACATCGCTGGCGAGGGTGTGTTGCACTGTGTGTGTGTGTCACTAGAAAAAGAAAGAAAACCGCAAAGGCAATGCTGCCCCCCCCAAAGGTGAGTGCTGACAGGAGACTGTGCCCGTGGAGCCATCCCTATAATTTGTTGCGAGGGTCGTTCGTGGTCCTCCACGCCGCCTCGGCGGCCCGCGCGCGCGGCTGAGCCTAGCGCAGCGCGAACTCGCTCTGAGCCTAGCGCGCGAACTCGCTCTGAGCATACGCAGAGCTGGCGCAGTGCGGGATTTGGCAGCGACCCGGCAAAAAAATTAAACGTCAAGTGACAGGAGACTGCCCGTCGCTGGAGCCCGTGGAGCTAGCCCTTCCTCCACTTCGGGCGAAAATTTGTTCTCGGGTCCGTTGGCCTCTTTGTTCAAATTTTGATACCCGTCAAGACGCCTGCTGGGGGCAGCTTCGTAGCGAACGAAGCCAAATCACCAATTTGTTTTCCTGCGCGGCGCCTCTAGACCAATTCGTCTTCCTTCGATACCGCCCCTCGGTCCGCCCTCCAAACAAAACATGTCGAACCTCTTCTCCTACGGCTTTGGCCAATCCACGTCCACCGCCGCCTCCGGCTCGAGCTCGAACACCTCCCTCGTGCTCGACCCTGAGAAGCCCGCCGCCCCCGTCGTGATCGTCCTTGACAAGGAGCCCGCCGTCGAGGAGCCCTCCGATGTTCCCGTCCAGGTGCGCGTGCAGCACCAGACGGCACGCTTCGATCCGCGCGCCTGAGCGTGCGCATGGCGCTGACCGCGCCCGGACCCCCGCCC